TTTTTGTGGCCAACCAAAAAAAAAAACCGGGTGGGCGTCTTTTTTTTTTTTTTCCCCCTCCAAAAATTGGGGGTGTTATTGTTAGGGGGGGGGGGGCCATGTTTTTAACCCAAAAACCCGCGGGGTTTTTTTTTTGGGGGGGGGGCCCCCGGGGCCCCAAATTGGTTTGGAGGGGGGAAAGGTTCCCCGGGGGTCCCCGCCACCCCTTTTTTTTTTTTCCCCCCCCTTGGGGGGGCCCAAAAAAAATCACAAAAAAAAGGGGGGGGGTTTTTTTTTCCCGCAGCTTTTTTTCCCCCTTTTTGAAAGTGAAATTTCTAAGATTGTTTTTAATTTTGATTTCGGGGGTTTTTGTAAAAAATTGGTTTTTCCCCCCCCCCCCCCCCCCCCCCCCGCACACACACCTAGAATCCTAGGTCTTCCGCTTTCCCTCCCACTCCCCCTTGTGTGCAGTGATATTGTCGTATGGAAGGGATGTGGGAAAGGCGGGGTGAGGAAGTTTTTTTAAGCAATCACGCACACATCCGAGTGTCTAACACGAACAAGGTAGCGTTGCGTGAGGTGCTGATAACAGCCCCCTTGGACTCGTGTCGTGTGTTTGTAGGCGCCTTGCCACTGTCGCGTGATGAATGAGGGATAACGTGTTACGTGTTTTTTCATATATAATGGATGGAGGGAAGGCGGACAACAGCCAGAGCGCGCTAGCAAGGAGAAGTTGTTTTTGTTGGGCGACCGAGTGTGTTTGGTTGCCGGTGGTTCCGAACAGCCATCCAAGCCATGTGGATGGGCAGAGGGATGGCTTTGTAGAGGAAATTAAACGTGTGCATTCCCGGGGATGGGGTTTGCATTTTGTCCGGGGGAGCGGAAATCCCTCACAACAGTCTTGATATAACCGTACCGCCTTTGTTTCCCCCCCCCAAACCTTGGGGTGAGGAGGATCGTAAAGCAGGAAACGCTCAATGTCGGCGGTGAACCCTCGAAGGTAGAACGACATCTTGGCATGTAGCGGTACAATACGGGGAGAATGGCGTGCGTTCTTGTGTTATGCATGTTACGAAGCTATATCAGTTAAATTATTCGTTCTCTGACTCCGATGTGAACTTCGTACAATATTGTTGGTGTTGACTTTGGGGTAATGTGCCGCGAGACTCTACGTTTCATGTTTGAAACTGTTATTGTGTTTTTGTCGGGAACGGAGGAAGGATCGTTGGCAAGTTGGCAAGGATAAACGTCGTCAACTTGGCTCCGACGTAGGATATATACCAGATGGCATTCTCATTTCTAGGTCCACTCTCCAAGAAGGGCAGAAGAGCAATGCTACGGTAGGGGGGGTACTTTTTGTCGTTACATCTTGTTGCGCGAATTTACTGACTGCCCATAACTCTCAATTTTTGCTTCTCAAGAAAAAACGTTCTGGACAGGCAGCGGCTGGTGTGTGTATGGTGCGGTATGCAAAACAAGCATGTTTCTTAGTGTAGAGGGAAGAGGGACTACTCCGCAAATAACCTATTTATAGTAGTGGATGGTTTACCCCTACGTAGCATGGTTCGGAAAGCTGCTGGGGGGGGGAAGTACAGTAAACAGCATTCAGTACGTGAACGAGTTCGAGCTCGTGTTCTAGTCTACTTTTGAACGAGAAATATGTCGTCCTCCAGCGTTCTGGGCGTACGCGAGAAGTACAGTATGGTTGCCCCTGTCAGAGGACCCCGTAGACTATTGAACCCTATGGACGACAGCCTAGCAGAGTTTAGCTTTCTTTCGGGCAAAGATTGATATATATGTTGTCTCGATCGAAAGTACGGGGATACAACGTTGTGATTTGTAATGCTTCATTGTGAAGGGAGTTCATTGATTAAGAAGCCTCTTACAGCTCCACTGCAGAACGCACGCCACCACTTGTTAATAGAGTAGCACTTGAGATCAACAACCTGGGACAAATATCACTTGCGTCTGGCCTCGAAAATAGCTCGAAAAGACTCTAAATCCGCCAAGCAAGTGAAGTGTCCTGCTGTAGTTCCTCTCGTTTTGGGGCGGGCGGCCTGTCTGTGTGACGATGTTTCTCACGAGACGATCGTCGCCTGACAGTCTCAGACAAGGAGATGGCGAAAACAGGCGCACCAGGAGACAAGGCTCAATTTAATGGAGCGGAGCAACTAGCGCTTTGATCCTCCGTAACATGAATGCAGGAAAGGGTAGCTGGCTCGTAGCATATTTAGTAGATGCTCCCAAGATAGGTGGTGTGACCTCCACACACGACCGACCATGCCTGACCACCACCCACATATTATATGTATGTATACGTTTAGCCTTGAAACCTAAAGTAGAACGCTTTACATTCAATCTTTTAGAACTAAGAAAATACCTCCAGAAGTGTGCACGCTAGCTCGCTCTGCTATCTAACAGAAGAGCGCGAATTGGGCAGTAGGAGGAGAAGCACGATGGCCACTAGATTAGACCACGAATCAGCGCTGACTTGTGGTCTAGTGGTCATCGTGCTTGTCAACAAAAGTTAGTGCCCGTGTCCGGTCTGGCTTTGCAGCCACGAACACGTCCCCCCAGGGTTGTCATCCCTGTGATCAGCGCTGTGCTTGCCAGATCGATACAAGCAGCTGCCAGGTCATCGGCTTGTTTTGCGAAGCCTATTTCCCCAGACTTCTTCTTCCTCATAAATTCGGGCACAAAGAAATTTATTCTCAAGAGGAGATTCGAACCCCGGACATTGGTTTTTGTTGAGAAGCACGATCACCACTAGAAGACTACGAGTCAGCCGCTGACTGGTGGTCTAGTGGTCATCATCGTGCTCCTCAACAACTATTTTTGCCGGCCCGCTCACAACAAAAAAAACGGTTCGAAGAAATCAAGGCCCAGATTTATTTGTGCAAGAGAGCAAAAGAAGTAAAACGGAGTAAGAAATTCAGCCCAAACTTGGCGAATGGTCAAAAATGGACAAGAAAAAAAACGCACCTTTTCGACTTCATACTAATATTATTTTCTGTGCAGTGTCAAGAAACGGCGGCATCTGGGGCTGGGCAGGGAAAAACAAAAGAGTACGGGCTTGACGTACAAATACAACCGGGCGTACCCCCTCTCGTTCCCAATCTCTCCAAGCAATTCTAAAGAGGAGTGGTGCGGGGGGGGTGAGATAACGTCCACGTTCTCCAACGTGTTTGCGGAAAGCAATTGCAATGCACTCGGAGGGCAACATGTAGCCTATCATAGTCTATCATTGGGTTTTCGCGAGAGGTTGCCGCGGCGTGTTGCCTCCAGCTAGTTCAAATAGTCTACATACATACGGGGTTGGCAATGACGGCGGACGGGTCGTGGAACGACCGCATCACTTCGGAGAGCGGTGGGTGTAGTTGGGCCGCTCAACTTCTGCGTGGGCGAGGAGATGCTTCAGCTGGTGGAGGCGGTGACGGCGACGATGACTCAATCAAGCTCCGAAGGCAACTGAAGCTTCAACACCCACAGCGATGACCCAAGCTCCCACAGAAGAATAAGTAATGGTGAGTGTGTGGCACTTCATGGGTAGACTACGTAAATACTCCTCCCCCGAACTTGGTCAGCGGGTCCCTGCGGTTGGCTTTCTCTTCTCTCATACCCACCAATCGTTCCCTGTGCATGCATCGATCAGGTGTTGTTCGTCTGCAATGCCCGAGACCCATGTTCGTTCGCGACTTGACAGCGATGATGATCTCCGCCCTGAACATAAAAATATCCTCGTGATGCATCTTCCTGACAGATATTGCGCGCAGGACAGGAGCGAGTGCCATCAAGCGGTGGTGGCCCTTCGGTGCTGATTTGCGTAACTAGGTTCCTGGAGTAGATCAGTCGGACAGCGGCCCTGCGACCCCACAACTACAATCATGTGAGCCTTAGTGTCCATCCAATGCTGCACCATCCGCACCAGCCACTTTAGTAGTAGCATTGAACCGCCTCTACTTGTGCATGAGCCGATCGGCGGTAGGTAGCGAGCGGCGGGTTGGCGGAGTAGGGGTGCGAGGATTCAAAACCGCACCGCGTAGTTGTATGGGAACACGGGCCCAATTGTTGTTCGGAACAACAGCGAGTAACCGGGATGGTCGTGTTGGTTTTGGGATCGGGGGTGGACGAGCCGACGGCCCCGTAGAGTTTTGAATTTTCCAAGCAGCAAAAGGTCATCACTGCACGAGTAATTCCCAAATCCACGATTTTGTAGTGATTGCACCAGGATTGTTTGAGCATTGCAAGACTTTAATGTACGTACGTACAGAGCAGGTCACACAGGATTCAAAGTACGAAGGGTGCCGTGATAAAAGAGGTAAAAAGTTCGTGTTGAGAATACATGCCGCGTTGCGGGAAGAAGGAGAGTAGCAATCTAGAGGAATAGTATAGTCTATATATGTATACATAGTCTAGGTCCAAACGTCTACCAGGTTGCTTGGAGCCGGAAGTAAGAAATCGGAAATGATGCACCACATCCATTCACTGTGTGGTGCTTGAAAGCCAGATCATTATGACGAAATAAGAAAATAATCAATGAGTTGCGGCAACAAGGTTTGGGGTCCCACTCAGTGGATAGTCCACCTACCCGGCGTTAGGTGTTTGTGAGCGGAGGCCGGCGGCACTGGAACTACAAGGAAGGAAGGAAGGATCGTTCCATGTTTGTTTGCTTTTTTGTGAAAAATTCTGTCGGAAGTTGTGTGTCATGAAGTGCTCCCGAACGAGTTCAAACAGCTCAAACATGCGATGAAACTAACTCTGGTTGTGAATGAAACTCGGAAATTATTTCCTCTTTTTTGTTACAAGTACACGGGCAGGTCGCCATTGTTTGCTACCATGCATTACATTGCTGCTGTATAAACTTCGGGTTGTTAGGGTCAGATGATCAGCACATGG